CTCGTGTTCTTCCTGCCTCCGAGCTCTCTGAGAGAATGTCTTCTGCTGCCATTCCTGCTGTGAGCTGATTACATCTTTGTTTAAAACAAGCCGCCCACGGGGCGTTCCTTGGTCCTGATACTGCTGGGAAAGCATCCTCAGTGAGCAGAGTTGGCTCCGAGGCACGTGCATGGAGAAGGAGTGACAGGAGTTCATCAGTAAGTGTTTTACCTTTTGGACATTTGGAGACCCCTGGGGCCAACATAACTTGTGTGTGTGGAAGGGGAAGCAATGGGAATGAACAGAACACCTTGCCACTGTGCCATGGCATCCAGTGTGTCTGTGACGTACCTTAGGATTCACAATGGGCTTTGTTGCAAAGTCCAGCATAGGCATAGGAGCTGGAAAGGAATAGCTGAGAGGAGGAATGGAGAGAAAAAGCAGCCATCGATTCATAACCAGTGTGCCAGATGAGTGATGAGGCTGTGAAAGGCATCTGGATGGTTTGCTGCATCCAGCAGCATAGGGTTCAGAATTGGAAGGTGTCTGGAGGCCCCATGGACCAGGCAGAGGGATGTCACAGGGAAAGCACAGGACAGGAAGCACCTGCAGAGCACTGCAGTGAAGTAGTACCTGTCCAGGGGCTCGCAGTGTTGGGATACAGGAGTTCTGGAAACAGCCCTTTGAGAGGACAGCAGGATGTGTGTCTGGGTGGTAGCACGCCCAAAAGTAAAGTTTCTCCTCAGACAGCACTGGTGCAAGAGGGAGGATGCCCCTTCTTTATGCTTGGCAGATAGTCTGGTTATTCCTACCTACATCTCAGCCTTTTTTGGATCCTTCTCAGTTTGTGGCCTCAGGAATCACCTGTGGCAGTAAGTCCCTCAGGTATGAACCTCGTCTGGTCAGGAGTGGTGTGGAGTTCACACCAGCCGAGAAGCCCCATGAGTTTCATACCCCTGAGGTTCTTGCATGTAACTGACATGGCCACTGCTGTGCACAAATGGCTACAGGGAGAGTTTGTGAGTAGAACAGTGGACTCTGTGTAAAGGCTCCTGAGCTCTTCTCCCATCTCTGCCATTGATTTCCTGTGTAACCTGTGCTGGTCACTTCTTGCCATGCCTGCATCATGGTGTTCGTGATGTATAACGCATTTTGAGTCACGTGTTGGAAAAGCATGATCAAATCTCACTAGTCTGCCTGTCTGGATAACGATGCACTGGAGCAGAGAGGAGCAGTGCCACATGGAAGAAACAGAAACACTGCCAAGAGTCCAGGCTGCACATGGTGCCAAGGGTGGCTGAGCTGGACTGTGCCTGGCAATACACAGCATCTGCATGGCAGGCAGGAAGGAGAGGGGCACAGGAGTCTCTGTGGGGCCCGGGGGCAAGAGGTCTTTCCTGGAAAGACTTACACCCCCTGTGTCACCCCTAGAGTTCTCTCTAACACCTCTTTTCTCTGGTCCTCTTTCTGTTCTTCATTCATTGTCCCTTTACTTCCCCACCAGTCGGTCTCCCTTCTCCCAACTCATACCCTCCCCCTGCCCCTCAATCCCTTGGCTGTCTTTAGCCATGAAAGGAGCATGGCTTCTAGAGTCCAGTCCCCCAGCAGGTCATCTTCTCTCCTTGACTAACAAGGGAAGCTGCCTTATACCTGCCTTAGCTCCTACAGCAGGTAAGACAGGGAATCTGCCACAGCTGACTAATGGGTAGGAAGGGCAGCTGCTTGTGCTGAATGATTGTGCCGGTTGGTCAGAGCTTGTGGCCTCCAGCCAGGAATGATGCATTGCTTCTCTAGTGTCAGGACATGTTTCTGGACTGCAGGCTGAGCACCGAGATAGTTTGAACACTATTGTGCTGGGACACAGTGGGATTCCCAGTGCTCAGTTCACTAGACATGATGCACTTGCATCATACCAGTTAAGGCTCCACGGAACAGCAGAGAGGATGGAGTCCCAGCTCAGTGCTGGGGGTCTTGGTCTTAGGACTGCAGTACAGCAGAGGGGAAGCAATTGCATCTCAGTTGTGGAAGCCCCTGGATGCTGTAGCAGAACTGATACTGTCTTTGCCTTCCCCTTATTTCTTGGTCACTTTGACACAGATCAGACTCCTGAATGTAAAAACTGCTTGTTCATCTGTGAACCTGTCTTGTGTGACTGGGCTTAGTTAGTTGGGACATAGTGTCCAGCATGTGTCTCTCTCCATAGAGATAAAGCTAGGGGAACAGGCAGGGGTATCCTTAGGACTGAGCAGTGGGCAGGTACCATGTGAAGAAACAAACCCTGCTAAAAGAAACTGCGGGAGGTCCCGGCATGTGCCTTCCAAGACAATCTGCCTGACACCCCTTCCAGAGCTCTTCATTCAGCAGTACTGTGTTACATCGCTGAGTGTCTCTCTGCTTTAAGCCCCCTTGGCATCTCCACACTGGAATTGCTTCCCACATGCTTTGTCCTTGTCTTACTCCATTGTTAGTCACTGACCAAGCTATCTGTAGTGCTGTGGCTCTGCCTGGGGCTCAGGGGTAGCAGACTGAGCAGAGGAATAACCTCTGTGCAAGGCTGAGCTGGCAGCTTGGTAAGGAAAAGGTTGCATTTCAACTCTTGCCTGCTTCTCATGGTCTCTAGGGGCTGTGAACAGCCCTGCCATAAGTTGAAGCACCTCCAAAGTTGCTCTAAACTACACTGGAGACAGAGAGGCCCCAGCTGAGGCAAGACTATGGGAGGCACAAAGGTGGTTTTGTCTCCTGCCCCTTCCCTGGTCCCATGTTGAGTGCAAAACATGGAGCAACTGAGACCCAGGGCAGACCCATTTCGCTCCCCTCCCTCCTGGGCACTGCCTACTGCAGCCCCTTTCCTGGAGTGTGAACCCAGCCAGGCTGAGTCTCTGGCCCCACACCCCTATGGTTGGTGTGTGCTGGATTTCATGTCTGCCCAGAGCTCTGAGATTAGATCTTGTATTCATTCTTTCAGACAACCCCCAAACAGAGCAAGGATCTGCACGTGGGTCCAGTTAACATCTCTGTGCATGCTGCAATCACTTTCCATGAGTCAGCTCTCATTGAGAGCAAGCCCAGCTCAGAGCAGTGTGGCAGGCTGGACTACATGGCCTGGCTTGCTGGGCTATGCAAATCCACCCACTAGCATGGATGAGTGAGCTCAGCAGGTTTTTGGGGGGAGGGGAGTGAGGCTGGAGCCCAGCTTGGCCACATGAGCTTTACCCAAGTTTGCCCGATATCAGAGAGAGACAAAAATAGATTTGCAGGAACAAAGGATCCAAAATGCAGCCTCAGTAGTTTAGTAGCTGCCACATTTCCCTACTGTCAGCCACTTTGAAACCTCTGTCCTGCACAGCTGGGACTGCACACTAATTACTTGTAGCCAGATGCAAGCTAGAGCATTGACTGGAATTATGTTTGAGGACAGATGCTGCTCTGCAGCTCCCTCTGCTTCCACAGCATGTGTTGCTTGGGTCCTCCTAGACAAGGGGAAGCCAGGTATCCACCCAGACTCCACTTTGGCAAGGCCTGTGAAGATGCTCCTTTTTAGCTGCTGGGTTGTGAAGTTCACATGTGCCGGCCACCTGTTGTCACATACTCTTGAGAGCCACCATGGCCCATTCAGTTGGAAGACAGCCTTGTTGGGATACACTTTTACACCCCCGTCTTACTTTGCCCATTACTCCACCCACGAGAGCATCTGCTGAGGATAGTAGAAGGCAGTGACAGAGAAAGGATAGATCTCTGACCCTGTGTCCTGGCTGGCCACGGCTCAGGGCACAACAAAGGCCCCAGATTCATCTGTTTGGAATAATGGGTGCTCTCAGGCACAGGAGCGGAGGAATGGCTGTGAGGGTGGGTGGAGGCTGGCCCCAATGCCTGCCCCAGGATGAATGTGGAGGCAGCCTCTCAGCACTGTACAGCACAGTGCTGCATTCACATCCTGTTGGGAGTGCACAATACAGATCAGGCAGTAAGGCAGCTGCATCCCTCCAAGAAATGCACCCCAGTACCGACAGAGCCACTTTCACCCCCTCTTCCCATAGGATCAACTAATCCCAAGTCCTTGGGCCTTTTGATGGACAGAGGTCCCCAGGGTCATCACTGCCCGGACCATCCTCAGATGTCCTCCCCCACCACACCCTTTCCCCCCAGCCTGATGCTAGCGGTTTATCTCAGCAGCACTATGCAGGCTCTCCTACCTAGGTTTTGACACTTTGTGCTTGCAAATGCAGCTGTCCCATATTTATCAGAGTACAGTTGACCAAAGTGAGATATTAGCAGGAAGTAACATGAGCCAGAGAGGGGGAACTACCGTGTCACCCCAACCCCCACACTCTCAGTCTGATACAGATGGACAGCTTCTGCAGAGGTACGTGGCAGACACCGTGAAGGATTCACTGAGTATAGATGAGATCAGTGCTGCTGGAAAAAGAGTAGAGAGCTAAGCCTAGTCAGTGGTCAGTGGAAAGGGTCTCCAGCATGGCAACCTGGAGCCTGGGCTCCATGGCCAGCTGATAGTAAGAAGAATAGGAGCCAGGGGTCTGACTCACTGTGACAATGATTCATTAGACATATTACAGAAGGGGTCAGAGAGCCTGCTCAGGATTGGGCCCCTTTTTGTTGGGTGCTGCCCAAACCCATCATAAACAATGCCTGCCTATTGGAGAAGCTAGGTATTTATGCCATGCTAAAAAAGGCTGCATTGTGTGTACGGAGTCATAGCGATGGGACATAAGGGCCTGGCCCTCCCTCAGTATTGTTGATCTTCCTTTCGTCTCTCACTGGGCTGTTGCTAGAAGACACAGCAATGAGATGTCCTGCCCCTCCTATGATTCTGGCCATTACTCAGTGGCTGCACCTCAAGGTAAAGACTTTGTCATACTTGTCAATAGAGCTGGGTAAGTAGTTTGGGAGATGAGAGGTGAACTCAGCCTGGTGCATTCCTGGGGTCAGAGCACTGGCTGTTTGTGAAAGTTTGGATGGCTATCACACCTCTGAGAAAATGGTGGCCACTCTTCCATGGGTTGGAGCACAAATGGAACTTCCTGTGATAGGCCAGGCTGGAGCTGCAGTGTTCAGCAGTCGTCACTTTTTGTATTTTTTTTCAGCAGTTGCGATTTTTTATTTGTTCCTGTTTAGTATATTTTTTAAATTAACACTGTATTTCAAAAGAATTGTTCAGCTAAGACATTTTCAGGTTGCTGCTGAGGAAATGTGTCATGTTAAGGCACATGTAAAATGTTAAATGTACATATAAAGGATGTATACAGGGATGGATGGATCGTGTATGGAGATAGACAGACAGTCAATAAGTACATCTGGGCTCATTCACTCCTCCCCATTGGTTTGCTAATAATACCTTTTATAAAACTGGTTGGCTGTAAGTTCAGATACTTTAGTAATAGAAGTCACAAAAGAATTGACAGAGAAACAGACATTTTGAAGTAAGGATCAGGATCATTTATCAGAACTAACAGGCATCTTAGCATGCACCTGACGACAGGAAAAAAATATCAATTACTTTGACTTTCAGTCTGAAAATGATTCATCCACACATTTATTTCATGAACCCTTATGAATAATGAAATCCAGATCTCCTTGAAAATGATTCTTTAGCCAAGAAAAGGGGAGGGTTATGGTGATAAAATGTGGCCAGCTGTAATTTTTAATAACAGAAATGTAAAAACTGCCTGAGCAGATCAGTTGATTTAGTCTGGATCTGAGTCTTGCGTCTGGCAGTGTACCCCATCCACAGTGTTTCAGGTGAAGGTGACCCAGCCTCCTTGAATGTATTCCTATAGAAGTTGTGCTGCATGTAGAGTTAAAATTCCTTCCAACTAACATCTGATCATGTGGTTCACTGGGACTCAGTTCTATACCACTGCATGGGAGTACTGCCATTAACTTCACTGGAGGAAGGAGTGATGATCATTCAGTCTCTTCAGTACCATAACTGCAAATGCTGCCCTTGTGCATCACCAGTCAGCTAACTCAGTTTTACTAAAACTCACTGCATACTACCTGGCAGCATAAGTTCACTCTACTTTTTGCAGAGGAACCTGCTCCTTTATCCTATGGAATACATTGTTTTCCTGTTCCATACAGGTGGGGAAAGCAAGTTCTCCATTGCCCTTCACACCATTCATTCTTATCTAGTTCCTCAGCAGATCCTCTCATTCCCCTTCTGAATTAGACCAAGTCTATAATAGGGGTGCCTGTGACACACACATTTTCTTTTTGTTGCCCTTAGCATCTCTCATTTCCCTTTCCCCTTTCAGTCCTAGTTCTGTAAATTGCATTGTCCAGCCTTGCAGAGCTCTGGGATACAGCGAGTTCTGTGTGCAAGGTATTACACCAAACACAGTTGTATTCTTGATACACGTGGGATTGTTTAGACCCCCTGTTAGGACTGCCAGTTTGGAGCTTTCTGCACAAAGGAAACAAGTGCTTTTAACAAAGTGAAAGTGATGCTGCAAGTGGTTCTCAGGTATCCAGTGCTAACAGTGCTCAAAGGGTACAGCTTGTGTAGGGAAGTGGGTGTATCCAAGCAGCTGCACAGAGTAACCAAATGAAATTTCTATATGTAACTGTCTGGGTCCTCAGCTTGACTTAGCCTGATTTGTGGAGCAATACAGCCTTATACACTCAGGCTGAAGTCCATCTAATATCAGAGTGTCTACGCTGCAGACTGCTGCACCTGTGGGAAGTGCATACACTAAACATTTTTATTTTACAATCTGCTAATATGCACAATATGGGTGACAAGCCTGGAGAACAAGAGTAATAGATGTCACCTACAGATGCCACCAAGCTGCAGAATTCAGGCCCATGTTTGGATTTCTAGTTCTTATGGATCTGGAGTGAGGAATGGATCCAGCCCCAGCAGGGATGAACTTGATGAAGTAAAATAAATCTGAGCACTTCTCTGAATTGAAGCCCTGTGCTCAGAGCAGGACCTGGGCTGGGCCTACAGTAGAGAAGACTTTACATGTATGATGCCACAGTTCCCAGGAGGGAGTGCTTCTGTTGTAAACTGCAGTAGTCCCAGACCTGCTACAACACATGCCTGATTGCTGATAAACCCACTGGGAATCCCCAGAGCACTCATGCCATGTTCACTACCCATGCCCTACACTGAGGCTACTGGGAGCATTTAGAGTAGAGGAGCATTTAGAGTAGAGGAGCACAGAACAGCTGTATCAGAGCCAGGATCTAGCCACAAGCCTCGAGAGTCTTATTGTTACCAGCTACTGCTTCCACAGTGCAGAGTCATCACTTAACTCTGCATAAATGGTGCAAGCATTTGCAGGTTAGTACCACTGGATTCCACCTCCCCCCCAACACATGCACGCATACTGGGGATTCTTTGGCATCACTGATAAGAATCAGCTATGGTCCTATAGTTGCATGTCTCTTTCTTTCCCTCCTCTGCCACCCCTCCTGGAGGCTCCTTCCAGAGTCATAGCTGTGTTGGCCTGAAGAAGTCACTAGTGTTAGCATTATGTATCTGATTGGAACTGCAATCTGCTTAGATATTGTCATCTCCCTCTTGGGGACTGTTGGGACT